TAACCCACGCATTTGTTTCATCTTGGCCAGAATTCAAAGCGTTTAACCTATTGACGTTCAATGCGCTCGTATGCGCCCATGGGGACCCACACCCTTTCTACGCCTTGTGACGTCATCACTTTTAACCCTGGAGCACGAATTTGAGCACGTCTTTAAACAGGTTGAAAATATCTTACAAACGATACCAGAATGAGCGCAATTGAGTGGAGGAGATTGGAGAAATAGTCAAAAAACCATATAACTTTGACCTGAAAATCTGCACGAAAATCTTGTTCCATTACCCACCCACCTTTCTGAGCATGTGGTTTGAAAATAATGAGTAAGTAGTTTCTGAAAAATCTCTACACCAAAATGAAGCGTACTAAATTTCCAGCAAGTGAGGAGAAACTTCAGGCAAGGAGAGGGGAAAAAAAGGGCAGGAGAAAGAGAGAAAAGTAAAAGTCGTAAGTAGAGCATTACTTTTCAACCCAATGTCGAAATTTTTGCTTTCTGCGCGTGCCCGAGATTTCAGGCCGCCATTTTGCATTTGGATCGAAAGACCGTCCAGTGTACGAGCTGTCAAGGGGTTTTTGGCAAGTTTCAGGTTTTAAAACTACAACAGTGACCCGAAATCTGCTCGACTAGCTTCAAAACACAGTTTTCCACAAAAGCTGCGGCCATTAATGGGTTAATTAATTAACAGGTTAAAAAAGCAGGAGTGTAAACAAAGGAAAGTTTTGCCCCATGTGTAAAGTTCATTGTTTTCCCTTCTTATGTGATAATCAAGCGACTATTCACAAATTACAGAACTCTGAACTTCCTAGTTGTAATCTGGAATTTCGCCGAAGTGAAACAGTCTTGTTTAAGTTCTTTATTCGGAGATTCCCTTCAGATAAAAATATGTGAAGGATATCTGTTAAGAGATATCTTTTTCCATTTTTTGTTCATATTGGCGCAGTGAAGTTTGGTTTTAATTTCATGTCGGCGAGGAAGAAAAAAAGGTAATGTTAAGTGCCAAAACTGGCTTCGAACTGACCAACTCCTCTAGAGGAAAAAAAAGACGTTCTCACGGCTACAGAAGGAAATGGTACGTAAAATCCTACAAAATTGTTCGAATATGAGAAATTTAAAAAGAAATGAAAGAATTGACGATTGAAAAAGGAAT